TGAAGACCTCGAAGCATTGGATTTTCTAAAACTGTTCTTTGCATTGCATTCTTCGGAAATGCTAACACAACATCTGTAACATTATGAAGAGCGTATGAGAAATCTGAGCTAATGCCTTCAGGAGTGATGCAACTCCATTTAGTGAACGAACGTCAATATGTTGAGCTGGAATCATGAATGGATCTTCCTTACTGAATAAACGTGGTATTGCTTTAACTGATTCTTCAATTAAACCGTATCCTGGTGTAATGCATTTATCCTCTAAAACTTCCATCTTTGTGCATGAAATAATAACGTCATCAACTGTTGCGTCAGCAGATGTAGCGGCTAAGCTTGTAATTAATTTGGCAGGAAGTCCGATTTGTTGGAATTTGCGATCATATTTATAAACATGATTCATAATCTTTTCATAATTTTCATCAGTTATCTTTTCATAAACGTAATTTTGTAAATCAGCAACTCTTAACGGGTCAACCTGACAAAATACTAAAGTATCCCTGAAAACATAATATTTAAGAATGATTTCACCAAATGATTTAGGATAATCATCGAACGCCTGAAATGCTAACAAATCATTTACCGGAATAATCATATCAAAAGTGACATCAACTTCTTCATTTGCTCTCTTGAAAACTTCTGAAGGGTCAATATATTTACCACATACTGAGTTATCATATTTTTGAACATTATTATATAACGAATGAACAAACTTTTTAACTTTCCTTTCTGATTTTGGTTTATATGTTGCAAATGCGAACGATTCACGGGCGCAATCCATCTGAAGATAACCGGCATCACCCCTTTCGGTTTCTACTTCTAATTGTTTAAAGCTTTGATTTGATGATTTGTAACCAACGAATAAACGCATGCATTTAAAAGCGGCATCACATGTGAAAGCTTTATTTGAAACTAGAGTTGCTTTAACTTTGCGTTTAATATATGTGTCACCTAATTGGTTCACATCATGAGCCGGATTTGTAATTCTTAAATGAGTTTGTTTATCATCAAAATATGGAGCATCAGAGTCATAGCATGAACTTTCAAGTTCTCTATAATATCTTCTACCATCATTCTTTGCGAATATTTCATTTATCTTTTCGAATGAATGAAATACATTTCCATTAATCGGTTTAGTGTTTGGCACCAAATAGTTAGTCGTCATTTATTAATAAATAAAAAATCAAAATTAAAAGATGAAAATGAATTTTTAATTTTAATGAAATAATCAACTATGGCTGCAGGTATATTTAAGAAACTGTGGGATAGAGTAAAAAGAGGAGCGAGTAAAGTTTGGGAAACATTGAAGAAGGGAGCAAATTGGATATTTAAGAATAAAGAGTTAGTATACCTAAGTCGTGTACAGAGGCACTGCGCGCCTCCATACATCACTTAGCTGTTTTGACACTTTACGAAACCGTTAACGTATATTTTACAACACAAACGACAACACTAACTTAACCTTAAATATTTACACAGCCACCAACCACTTCACCTCACTAATGTTTTCACAAACGACTTCACTAATGTAAAAATAAACGTTCTCACTAACATTCCCACTAATGTTCTCACTTACAAAAGTATTGCAACTCTTCCCATTGCTGTGCTTCACACAATAGTTCATATTCTTCAGTATCGCTGCTGTCGCTCCAATCGTCAGAGTCAAAATCACTGTCAAAATAAATGTTAGTAAGTTTTGACAAAGCTAATGAAACACGTTTACCGTTTGTATCGTATGCTTGTATAAACTTTCCATTCTTCATTCCTTCATAAACGCTCAAACTAACTTTACCCTTTCTCCCTCGTATCTGATAGAATGTATTTTCACGAGGAACGAAGAACAAATTCTTGAACTCATGACCGTTGTAGTTTGTTATCTCAATAGTTTTCGTCATTTATATAAAAATAAAATAAAAATAAAATAAAAATAAAATAAAAAATAAATGATATCACCACCCTCACACGTATGAAAACATAGCACAAAAATAAATTTAGGTGAAGTGGTGAGATCTCACCTCTTGTTTCACCTGTTTTTTCACCCTGTTGAATTCATTGCTTTATAACTCTCTTCCTTGGTTTCTTTTTAGTTGCTTTCTTCACGTCTGTCTCCAACTTGACTGTCTTTCTTCTTCGTCCGTAATGATACCAGTTACTTCCACCAGTCAATGGGTCAAATGGTCTTTCGTAAGGGTTTCCATACATTCCATAAGGTCCGTATGGATAAACCGCTGGTGGAGAAGAAACATTTTCTTTAGTTCCATCGACTCTATTTAAATGCATTGTTTCACCTTTCATCTGGTCATTAAAGTCTTTTGCGTGTTTTGCAAACTCATCGTCCTTTCCTAAAGCATTTTCTGACTCAGTCGCAACCAAATTGGATGCTTTATTTATGAGCCCTATTTTATTTAATCTTAACTTCTTTGCAACCCAGCCTCCAATCTTCCCTTTATTTGCATCTAATGTCTTCGAAACCCCTCCTCCACTCATTTTATTTACTGCGTCATAAGCTCCAAGTGCTTTTGCTCCAAATGCTAATGCTTTTGTTCCCATTGCGCCTAAAGCTGCCCAAGCTACCATTTACACCATATTAAAATCATCTCTCTTCAATATTATCTCATAAAAGTTCTCGTTACTGGAGAAAGTCAATGAAACATAAACATTCTCACGGCTTCGCCCTCACCGCTTTGCGGTCTATCTAACTTCTTTCTTATCTCATCTATTCTCAATAAAATGTCTGAACAATTGCTAACATCTTCTACAACAGTTATTTCATCATGAATGACCTTTAAGAACAAGCTCATTTAATATGCAATTAAAATCATCTCAATAATGAGTCCATCCTTTCCATCTTTAGGTAGCACAACATCTTTCATTGAAGAAGGTTCGACAAGTCTTATGTTAAACTTACTGACAAAGTTTGTTATACTATAATGCTTCGGCGGCGAATACATATAGTTTGAAAGACATAATATAGATTCTTCAGCAAATTCACTTATACTGGATTTTATAACAATGTTCTCACGAGACCAAATGCCACCAATTGACAATCTTGTAAGCAATCCTGCTGAACCTTCTACTGTAAACGTCGATGGTAACATTCCACGAAGGTCATCTATTGACATCTTTGAGTCACTGAATTTAAAGATTTTCTTAAAGCAATCGTCATTATCTAACCATGCAATAGCTTTGAAGTTTTCATTTGAATATACATCTGCTTCATTAAATGTAAATCCTGACTTCTTTGCAGAGATGACTTTAAAATCTATTGAGTTTGTTTCAAAATTATATGCTATGGTAACTTCTGAAGGTAATGGTGTCCTTCGCAGTAAGTTGTTCTCTCACTACCGTTTGAAGCTTTGTGTTAAAAACTTTCATGTCATCTCCTGTATCTAAGTTCACATACACAGCAACAGGGAAACTATCTTGCTTCTTTGTTTCATCATTATATCTCAAAACATTAAAGTTCTTCAATAATATTGTTCTTCCTGCTGGAATACTTCGAACCTGTCTGATTTCAATAGCTTTCTCACCTCCTACATACTCTACCCAGTGTCTTGGATATTCATAAGTATACTGACTTTCTTGAATTTTGGTGGTTTCATCATAACGTGTTCATAGTATATCTTTATACTCTTGTCAGTTAGACTCGGTGCTATGTTCTGAATATTTCTGACTTGCATTTTTAATGGAGATAAAATGAAGCATTTAATACATGACGTAGATGAAGACATGAATGAAACCACAGACAAACTTAACTCTTCTCTTATTCTTCCTTTAGCAAAGATTATGATTCTGTTCAAATGGTGTTATTTCTATTGTGGAAAGATGGGTTCAGGTAAGACATTTAACCTCATTCGTCATATACTCATAACAGAACGTTTAGGAAATGACTCATATTATGACCAAATCATTATATCAGCAACTTCAGACTCTATGGATTCAACAGCGAAAACATTTATGCCAAAAGTTCAAGCCTCTGTCGTTAAAGTTCCAGACAGTGAACTCATTGAATTTCTTCAACGTTACATTCGACGTAAGAGGAAATATTATGCCATCGTAGAGTTCATACAGTCAGGAATGCAAAGACTTCTGAGGAGATGGAAAGAATTATTGACAAACACCACTTACGTCAGTACTCAGGAGTTTACGATATGAAACGACTGACAAACTACATTCTATCAAAACTTTCAAAATACCCCTTCAAAAAGTATCCTTCAAACACTCTGCTCGTTTGTGACGACTTCGCCGGAAAAGGTTTAGTGTCAAAACCAGACTCACCATTAGCTAACATCATAACTAAAGTCAGACATTACCATTTAACTGTAGCAATACTTATGCAAACATGGCGTTTTCTTGCTTTAAACATAAAACGTCTCATAACTGACTTCGTTATCTTTCAAGGTTTCTCACGTTATGACATTGAACTCATTTGGAAACAGTCAGGTATAACATTACCTTTTGAAGAAATTTGGGAAGCATATAAGTCTCTCATCTCTCCTCGTTCATACCTTGAGATTCATATCATGACTAATACCATTAAAGTCAAAAATATTCCATGGGAACGACCAACATTGTTTTAAAGTTTAACCTTCAATTGACTGATGGTAAACAAATTCCATGCATCTCTGTCGCCATTTCTGTTAATATTTTTGCTGTCATTCATATCATCCACTTCCCCATCCGTTAGCTTTTGAGGATATGCGTTAGAATAGCTGTTCTTAAATGAAGGCTTTTCACCTTTGAGAGCATAAACTCTATAACTTTCTGCATACTTTATGTTTGAACCTCCTGAGCCATCATTGACATAAATTTTTATAGGCTTCCACCCTTTGTTCATGTTCCTGCTTCTTCCCTTAGCTCTTTTGTTCAGTAGTTCTACATCTTTATACACAGCACCTGTCTCAGTGAATTCAACAATATTTTCATTCGTTAGCTTTACATTCAAACCCTTGTCGAGTATATTGTTCATTTCATACATATAAAAGGTTTTTATTCTATATGAAATGAGAAGCAAATCCATCTTAGCTGGTGCCGTTAATGTTCCAATTGAACCAACATCAAATGTTGACTCACGAACGACAAACAATATTGTCATAAAGAACTATAGTTCAGAGTGTTTGAAAGAAAAAGAACCAGAACTTAAGTCGGTGAATTTAAACACAGCTTCAAACGCTAACGCTACATCAGATGTTAAGTTAGAGTATCCACCACTGGACCAAATTCTTTCAAGAGAAGCCAACGACAACCCTTACATAAATGTTCAAACAAATCCTTCAGATAACGTAGACCATTACCTTCTTCAGTTATACCAAACAATTTTACTCAAAGACGATAAGAAGCTTTTGATAAATCTTATAAGTAAGAACCAAATAATTCTAACAAAGGAGGACCTTGAAAATGTTATATCACGAATAACAGGAAAGCAATGTGTCATTGACTATCTCGACCCTGAAATCGAATGCTGTGGTCAAACGCCAATATTCATGAAAATAGGTAACATCCGCATCATTGAAACACCAGGAACTACAGGAGTTGAGTTTAAGTATAAATATTCGAACGAGTATACAAAACTTTCACAGAATATAAGCTTTGTTTGAAATATGTTTTAGTAAATTAAAGCAACTTATAGTATCTATCCAAAACTTCTTCAACAGTATCGAATCATCTTCATAATGCAAACCTAATCTTATTGACTTGGTGCAGTTTTCACTAACACAATATTTTTCTGTTCTCTTGACTGACATAACTAACTCATTTGTTTCATCAAACAGCAACAACCAAAGTTCATGACCTAATACATAACATTCATACTTTATATTTTTAGCTCTGAGTTCTCTTGTAAGCTGTTGCATTTAATATTTTCTAAAAAGTCAACTTCAACAGTCATTCGCACTGGTGCCTTCAGTTCTACAGGCTCTCCTTGAAAGTCAACAAGTCTGAATTGCATGTCTTTCAAATTATGAGGACTAATGCGAACCCATTTACCTAAATGAGTTGCTATGACAGGAACGTTTGGAATGAACATTGAATTGACTGCATAACAGAAGGATTTATATTCTACTGAACCTTTACTATTAACTCCTGAAATACCTGTGACATTAGCTATTTTTGACTCAATGTACAAACAATTACCATAACATACGTATGGAACAGATTTCATCTCAATCGTTTTGTCAACACTTTTCAAAGGAAATGTCATATGGTATGCTCCCAAAAGAAGTTGTACTCTATGACTCATTCTTGTATCTTAAACTCCTTCGCATAACTGAACTTCAAAACTCCTGCAATAAGTTTAACATTCATTAAGTTTTCTTCGTTATCCTTGTTTATTGTAGTATTTATGAGAGCATTTAACACTCCAGCTAATGTTTCCATCTTATATTCTACATTATTGTGAAATCTTATTTCGTGCTTCTTTCCATCTATTTCAAGCTCCATGAAATCTGTTTCATCTGTTATAACGAATGAAGCGATAGTATTGAAGTCAACCATTCTGAATGCAAGCGCCTCATTCTGTAGACCTAAGTTTGTTTGTAGCTTTACTGTCCCGTATTCGTTTGGGTCTGTACTTTGCAAATAGAACAACATTTTATTCTCATTAAAATATGAGTATAGCTGCATATGCGTATGAAGCTGACAGAGCTAAACGTTTATATTTTGGTCAATACTCTCTCACACTTACTGACAAATATATTGTTATCAGTGATGGAAATACCGAGAAATACATAACATGGAAGGACTATGAAAAGTTTGACCCTATTTTAACTCCATGTACTATGCCATTCATTGTAAATGGTGAAGTTGTCATGAAGAACGACACAACAGTATATAAGTCTGTATATGAAGCGTTAGAATATATGTTGAATTATAATCCCGAAAGATTTGACCCAAGCACTACACCATGTGCAATGCCTTTTATTAAGGACGGTGAAATCGTAAGAGTTCCGGATTCAACGGTTTACACAGCTGTTCAAAACAGTTTACAAAACATTTTAGCGAATATCTTTAATTCAGAAACTACAGAAATAAAATTACCGTATATAACAGATGCTAAAGAAATTAAATCAAAAACGACAACATTATTTACGTCACTTAATGATTTAATGACTTATATCATTAATATTCCTGCACCAACTACAGCATTTGATCCAAACTCGACGGTTTGCAGTGTACCTTTCATAAATGACAGTTCAGTAATTGCTTTAAGGGATTCGACAGTAAATGAATCATTAAAGGCGTCATTAATGAAAATCATTGATTTTAATTCATTCACGAATACATATAATTCATTCATTAATGTTTCATATGCTTCTAAAGAAGGTGAGCCAAAAACTATCAATAAAGCGGTGTATGAAATAAAAGCATCAACGACGAAATTGAATTCGTTAACTTTTGACGGTGATAGTTTCGTTAATGACATAACATCGGGGAAAACAATTTTAACGAAAGAATACTTAAAATCTCATGTTAGTGAGTTCGTTGAAATTGAAAAAGAAGGTGGAATTAAGTTCGATCCACTGAATTTCATTTTCAGCTTAGCGAATGCGGGTATTAATTTTGCTGAATGGACAACAATACAGAGTGAAATAAATGCAATATGGACGTTTTTGGGGTCAAAAGCGGGAATGGGTGAGCTTGTAAATGCTGCAAGAACATTAGGTGAAACAGGAAATTTTGTAGATGGTTTTAAAAGACTTGTTTCAAATGTTTTAACAAACACAAGAGAATTATTTAGATATACCATACATAACGGTCAGATTTTCGAACAGATAGCAACAAACCCTCCGGTTATGGCTGCGTTGATGATGGTTAGAGATATAAAACCACGTAACGACGGGAACGAAGAACATGAACAACAGGATACTGGTCGGGTTATTCGAGACATTAAAAACGTGTATCCTGAAGTTATTGATTTATTTAGAGGAGTTAATGATTCAATTTCAAAACATTCTATAACCCTCGATGAAGAGAATAAATTAACAGATTATATATTCGTCATTATTGCAGAATTAATGAAGAGAATAAATGAAAAAGGAATTGGTGATATCATTAATGTCAGCGATGTAATGATGAAAAGAAATTTTGACTCATTATTTACAAAACCGAAAACAGAATATAGTCTTTATGACGTAATTACCGAATTAATGAAAAAGATTAATGATAATAAGAGTTCTGGCGGAAGAGTTGAATTAGAAGTGAATGATGTTAATGAGAAATTAGCCGAAAAAGCAGACAAAAATGAGCTTTTAGCTCTGAGTGATAAAGTCAAGAACCACGTTCATTATATAACTTCAGACGAACAGATTATAACGGACTACCATGGATATTTAACACGAAGTGATGAAGCGAAGACAAAAAATGTTAATGAAAGAAGATATAAATACATTCGTGCTAAAGGTTATGACATAAGCTGTACTGTACAGTATGATGTAGCTAAAGCACCAGAAGCATTTGGTTATTCTGGTGAAATTTATGCCTCTACTTTCAATGTTAACGGTGTATTAGTTGAACCAAGATTTACATTGAGAGTTAAGGCAAAAATAACGTTTGAAGATGCTATTAAAAGTAAAGCTGACAAAGTTGAACTCGAAGCAATGAACAAAGTTTTGAAATCTCATAAACACAATATCTCCGATATAAATGAACTTCAAGCTACATTAAATAGTAAAGCTGACAAGAACCATACACATGAATCCTTCACTACTGTTAGAGCAGACGACATAATATTGAACTATACCCTTGGTTCAAGTGCACCTTTAGAGAATCCAAGTACAAGCGTAAAAGATACACTAAACAATTTAGATAACAGTTGCAGGAATATTGAAGATCATGCCAGAAACTTTGAAGCATATGAACTACCAGCAATGTTAGATAAGAAAGCCGACAAAACTTATGTAGATGAAAATTATGCAAAGAAGTCGGAAGTAAATGCTGCGCTTAATGGAAAAGCCGACAAGAACCATACACATGAAGAATTTCAAACAATCAACATTAAAGAAATTAAAGCATGCATCGAAATAGTAACAAAAACAGGAAGAAACGGTGCAACTGTACAAGAACAAAGAATTTATCCTCCTACTTTTCCTAATGGTTTAATAACAAACAATATAAATATCGAAGATGGCAATAAAGTTATAAACGTTAAACATGAACTTCAAACAATGAAGGCTCAGATTCTTCAAACATTATATCCTGTTGGCTCTATTTATACGTCAATGAACTCAACAAATCCAGAAACAGTTTTAGGTTTTGGTATGTGGAAGCAGATTGTAGATAAATTCTTATACTGTGCTAGATATTCAAAGCAAACAGGAGGTTCGAAGAAAATTAAAGAAGCAAACCTTCCACCGCACACTCATACGGGAACTACAAACACAACAGGTAATCATTCACATTCAATAACAAAAAGAGGTTATACAAATCTTGCAGCAGGTTCGGATAGACAGGGAATGAATAGATATGATATTTCAAGCGACCCAGTAGATTCAAGCGCAGGTATTTTCTGTGGAACCACAGGAAATCATTCACACACTTTCACAACAAATCCAACAGGCTCGGGTGCAGATTATATGCCACCATTTGTGACTATATTCGCATGGTACCGCGTTCAATGAACGCGCTTGAGCCTTGAATAAAATCTTTAACTTTACATAAATGAGCTTGAAAGAATTATTCGAACAACATCCATGGAGGTCATTTAAGAAATTCAATGAAGCTGCAAAGAGTTGGGGATTTACTAACAGAGCTGAAGTGAAAAGGTTCTTTGACAAAAATGTTGTACATCAAACAAAAATAAACCCTTACGACTACTTTTTACCAATTTACTCCAACGCTCCTGACGCATACCAATTTGACACTCTCATTCAAAGCAGAAAAGGAGGACATAAACCATTCCTCATCTTCATTAATGTTAACACTCGTAAAGCATATGCATATCCAATGAAAAATAAAGGAACTCGTGAAGTGTTAAGAGTTTTACAAAAGTTTGTAGCAGAACATAGCCCAAGTACTTTAACATCAGACCAAGACAGTGCATACCTCAGCAATGAAATCACAGAATTTCTCATTAAGCATAACATAACTCACTACACTACTGAAGACCATAACATAACATACTCGGCATCATAAACCGCTTCATAAGGACTCTCAGAGATTTAAACCAAGAGCGAGACTTTACCGAAGAAACAATGAACATTTCACCGAAGTTTACAATTCCTCAACACATTCTACAACAGGGCATACACCAAATTCAATGACACAACAACAAGAAGAAAAGTATATACAAAAGAAACGAAGCCAAACACAAAATATCAGAAATTCAACACAATTTACCCTCATTCCTGGTACAAAAGTTCGTGTAGTTCTTGACGACAAACCGTTGACAAAGAAACGTTTAAGGTTAAGTAGAAACTATTATATCGTAGACTCTACACAAGGTAATGGATATCTTATAAAAGCTGCTGACGACTCCATAGCATTTTACCCTCGTCATAAATTAGTCGAAAGTAGTAATGGCAAACTTGCTGAAACCATTGACGAAGCAAAGCGAGGAGTGGTTATTGAAATACTTGGCTATAACACAAACGATGACACTTATAAAGTAAGATATGAAGGAGGATGTAAATCAGACAAAAATATATTTTAGGTGAAGAGGTGAGATTTCACCTGTTTTCTCACCTGTTTTCTCACCCTCACCGCTTAGCGGCTCAGATTGCTTTTGCTTTCTCGTGAATTTTCATGAATTTCCTTAAGATAGAAAAAAATAAAGTTAGTTTTATTTTTATTTATTTTTTTTATTTTGTATAAAAGATATGATTTCAACAATAGGTTCTACAACACTTCAAACAACAACTTCACCAAACTCTTTAGTTATGAATCCAACATCTATGTTAGTAGAGATGAAAAGCTTCATTCCTTCTTCATATACTTTTGAGACAGAAATACAAAGAATTAAGCAAGAACTTTTAACAAGTAATTTAGACTGTAGTGCGAAAGATGAAACAAACGAGCAGTATCTTTATGACATGCAGGACATTATTGACCATTTACCCAAATTGCCTGAAATTCAGCAGCAAAAACTAACTATTCATGAATTCGATGAAATAGAAGTGAAACCAACTGACTCAGTAGAAATAAAGAAGTTCATACGTAAAGTAAACTATGAGTTTCTAGGATATCATTGCAACCATAAAGTTATGGACAAAGATTGCGACATGGTATATAAGAACATCTCTGACATATATAAATCTGGGGAGTTTAAGACATACGACAACTTTGTTTCATTAGTTGCTGAATGTGTATGGCAGATAAGAGATAAAGATAAAAGATGTAAAATATGGAATGGACAAATAAAACCAACAACTTTTGAGTTAAAGAAAACCATTGACGCCTTAGTTGTTCTAGCAGGTCAAATTTCAATGTATAACGCAAAAATGAATCCGCAATGTTCAAAATGTAAAGCAGCAATGAGGAAATATAACTACTCACTAAAAGAGATAGAACGTATGAGAAACGACTATGCTGACTTAAAGAAAGAAGTAGAGAAACCAGCAGAAGATAAAATGGACATGTTAGCATTTCTGAACAAAAACTATCCAACAGCTGACGATTTCCTATTATCTGATGTCAAGAAGAAGTATAAAGAAACTTTCGGCATTGTTAAAACTTTTGACATACTGACAGAAGAAATAGAAGCTAAGAAATTGTTTAGAATTTCAAATATACATCGTACAATTCATGTAAAACGCTTATAAAATAACTGGGGTGAAAAATTAGGTGAGAAAACAGGTGAAATCTCACCTCTTCACCTAAAATATATTTTTATTGAATTCAGCAACAAAATTCATGAATTTTCCTTAAGATAAAAAAAATAAAGTTAGTTTTTATAAAATATTTTTTTATCTTGTATGTAAGAACAGTAATGTTAAAGGTTGAGTTTGAAACAGTTAGAAAGATAGACAATGACACCAAAGTGGTTAGAATAGGTGGTTTAAACGTAAGATACTCAAAGAAATACAACAAATATTCTTTGTCAGACATTATATCTCCATCTGAAAAGAAAACAAACCATTGGGTTAGAAATGCTTCAACTCAGAAAATTTTGACAAGAAATCCTGAGCTTATGATATCGGTAAGATTCTATGGAACTACAGCATATCTCATTGACAAAAGTCTTATACCAATAGTTTTGTTATGGTTAGACCCAGTTGTTGGATATAACTTCATAACTTATGGTTCATTCGACTCAGAACGTTGCAGTGAAGGCTTACTTTATATCGTTCAGAAACCGAAGGACTTCAATACAAAGAGATATAAGATAGGAAGAACATATAATATAACTCAAAGATATGACAGTACAGTCAATAGAGTCAAGGTTGTGTTCGTTAATGATATGAGAGCTGCAGAAACAGAACTACTTGAAAAGTTTGAGAAAATGTATGGTGCTCCCATGAAAGGTAAAGAAACTTTCGAAGTAGATGAGATAGATAAAGCTATAAAATTATTTGACGAAGTTGCTGAAAAATACATGTAAAGCGTTTATTTTTGGTCTTTTGTGAAAGTCAGAAAATAAAGTTAGAATTTTTTTTATTTATTTTTTTATCCTGTATGTAAGAACAGTAATGTCAACATCAGAGAACACAACAACAGTTATAGTCCATGAAGCCATAAATGAAGAATACGAATACATACAATATAACAAACAACTTCGCCTCATTCGTTCGGTCAAAGATGACATGTACCAAATGCAAAGTATAATGAATGCTCTTCGTTCTACAAAGCAAGCATATCATTGGTTTGAAAACCAACAGGCAAAAGAACTTTTAGAAGAATTTCCTCATATGATTGCTTCCCTCGGAAAACCGAGGGAAGAGATTCCGTACGAAAATCGCAAGAATTTGGCTCCTGGTTTGAAAGGTTATTATGTTCATAGACTTTTAGTAAATGCTGTAGCAATGTGGGCTTCACCTCGTTATGCTTGTTATATTTTCATGATGTTAGATGAACTATATAAAGCAGAACGTGGAGAGATGGAAAAAAAACTTCAAGCAAAAGATGAAGTCATTGAATCCAAAGACAAAAGCATACAGAAAAGAATACCACGTTCAGTACCAAAAGGAAAGGAAAAGAACTATAAGTATATGATTTACGCTGAAGAGTTGGAGAAAGAAGAAGATAGAGATATGGTTATGTTGCATTTAGTGAGAAGAAACAACAAGAGCTTTTATGACTTAGCTAAGATATATAAATCTGACAGAAACTGGTTCTATCGTGAAAACTTACCGATTTCAATGACACCGAATGAGCAAATAAAGGAAATTGTCAAAAATACTCTTCCCCAAACACACTATGACATCAAAGGTTGCACAATACTTACATTCAAAGAAGACTTAACATTACTGAAAGAAAAGATAACAGAATATTTCGACAACTTCAAAGAGGAAGAATGAAAACTTACCGATTTCAATGAAAAACATTAACTTTTTGACGAAGTGAAGATTTGCACTTTGTCAAAATTTAATGAAAAACATTAACGTAAACATTAACGATAAAATTTATTTCCTGGACTGTTGTCAAAATGTCATGTTGTCATCATTTTTAAAAGAAGTTAATTAACCTGGTAGCACATGGTGACGTGGTGACACTTTCAGTTATTCAAAAATATATTTTTGCTTAAATGACGTCAGGGTCAATTTCTTCAACCATTTCACTTCCTTCGTCAATGTCAATAGAAGCTTCTTCAACCTTTGGTAAGAATTTCTGTATAACATCTTTGTTCGTTATTGTCTTCAGAGATGAAGGATAATATTTCACATTTGTTTCACCCTTCTTATATTCTTTCTGTTCGGAAAGATTCATAGCAATACTGAAGAAGTCAATGTTAGAGTTCTTTATGACAGTATAATGAGTATCTTTGACATTCACGAAGAAACTCTTTTGTTTCAAAACTACTGCTAACTCTTGTGAAGTATAACGTTTGCGGTCAATGACAATAGCTAATGGTCTGACATACTGACCGAACTTAGATTCTTTCACAAACTTCTTGTTAAAGATAACATTGACGTTTGAAGCACCATTGAACTCATTCTTGATGGCATTAGCGAGAGCATTGTATGAAAAGAACTTGCAATCTTGCATGTGTTTCATTAAAATAAAAATATTAAATTATTTTGAAAAATAACTTAAAAAAATCTAAGCTAATTTTTTCAAAAAATATTTTTTTATTTCCTACTAAAGATGTATCGGAAGTTGTCTAAGTTAGAACACTCGGAAATAAAACAACTTCTTAAAGAAGCTAATATAGATGTTGCAAAACATTACGCGACAAACAAAAAAGCACTCGCTGACATCCTCAATGACTACAATGGTGCAATAAGTTATGATAGAATTCATGAGTTCATAAAGCCGCAACGCGGCGAGGACGAAGTCCATGCAAGAGCATTTCCTTTAAATGACGTTGCTATTGACTTATATCATAGACGTTCAGTACCTCATGAAGTAAGGTGTGAAATGTATGACATAACAAATGCAAACGTTGGTCATACTCGTAAAGCTCTTTCGCATGATGTTCGTCAAGAGATGTTTGACATAACAAATGCAAACGTTGGTGAAACAC